CGTTCGTAAAATATAACTAACTAAAATAATCTGTTGAATATATTTATTAAAATTGTAGTCATAAGATAAAACTATTGGAAAATAAATCCGTAGTTGAAATTTATCATAAAACTGATATCTAACTTTTTTATTTTTCGATATTTTCAAAAAAAGATTTTCTTTACAAACCATGTAGAGAAATCTTTTCTCTATCGTTCTGTTAAATCAATTTCCTTGAATCTAGTTCTAGAATGTAGTGGTGATGGATTTTCGAAGACTTTCATCAATATTACGAATTTACCGCGCATTGAGCAAATCCATAATCACGCTAGCATAAGTTAGGATAAATCCGTAATCATGCTAGCGTAAGTTGGGATAAATCCATAATCTCAGCTATTTTTAGATGGACGAGAAAAAAAATCATATTTATAAGTATTCTATTTGCTTGTTTATGAGAATTTTTTCATCAGTAGATATAACAAGATCTTCTCTATGGCACCAGAGTATTTGAAATATTTGCATTCGAAATCCTAATTTCCAATGAGTTCCTTTCGAGAAGCTATAAGAAAGAAAAAGATTACGAATTTATTCCGCATGGGGTAAATCTGTAATCATGTTGGTGTAAGTGGATTAAATTCGTAATTCCTATTTATTTTAATAATAATAATAATAAAATAAAATTTTTTTTAAGATAAAAGTCATTTCAATGATTTTCTTTTTCAAAAAATGTTTCTCATAAAACATACCAAACAATTTAACTATTTCTCTCAATTTATTTTTTGCATCATAATAAATGAAATTATTTATAAGAGAATCTATAAAAGTGACAACAAAATAAACATTTCGTATACAAAAAAATGATAAAATAAAGCATCATGTAAGGAAAACAATGCGGACTTGTATAAAAAAACGCTGAAACTGAATCTATCATATGATTTCACAATTAATTAAATATCTGACATGTTAAAAAATAAATAAATAAGTAATTTATGTACATAGTTCAAAGATTAATAAAACTTTGAGTAGATAAGAAATAGTTATTTGTAATATTCGATCCAAAATAGAAGGCAGGTTACCATTTTTCAAATAACTTTTGATAGGAACGAGATACAGAACTACGGTTTTTATCATTCGAAAGAACAATGTCCGAACCATCGATCAATACAGAACTCATTAAAACGAAGAATACTTTTTATAGGTGTCTTTAACTCAACACTTTTTTCTTTGAATATTTTCACAATAATCCCAACTAAAATTATGTCAAAATGTAGCTCAAATCATTCTTCTTCGCTATAAAATTAACATTTGTTTTTTTTAAACCAGCTTAGGATAAGAAGTGGAGAGATAAAGAAATACGTGATAATTTTATAATGAAAAAGAATAATTTGGGCTACATTTTGACATAATTTAAGTTGGGATTATTGTGAAAATATTCAAAGAAAAAAAGTGTTGAGTTAAAGACACCTATAAAAAAGTATCCTTCGTTTTAATGAGTTCTATATTGATCGATGGTTCGGACATTGTTCTTTCGAATGGTGGAAATCGCAGCTCTCTATCAAAAGTTATTCGAAAAATGATGATCTACCTTTTATTTTGGATCGGATATAACAAACAACTATTTCTCATCTACTCAAAGTTTTATTAATCTTTGAACTATGTACATAACGAGTGATGCAAAAATTCCCAGAGAAATGTCGCTTCATTTTTCAATGGCTTAAACATACTATGGAAAAATCAAAAACATGTATTCAGAGTCTACGTTATAAGCTCTTTCTAACTGTGTGTTCATAAAAAATTCCAAAACGTCATGTTTTTGAGTCTTGAGTAAATCTTTGAACTGCACTAAAATGTGCTATTTTATTTTTTTTGCTCTTTTTTTTTTCGTTAGATTCATCGTTTAATTCTTCACAGATCTCTTGCTAAATAGTACAAGATTACTTCCAATAAAATTGTGAAAAAAATTAAAAAAAAAGAAATAAAGAGATATGAAATATCAGTAAAATTTGGATGTGAAAATTGTGATGCATCTATAGGATTTTTTGGGTTTTTAATAGTACTCTTTCATGAAAATATATGAAATGATGACTAGAAGAAATCCGAAATACTAACGATACAAAAAAATACATCAAAGCTTATGTTGCTAATGTGCGGATAGAGCGAACACGAACATCGCATGAAACAAAAAGAATATTAACAATGTGGTAAATAGCTAGAGCTCTGCAATTAGTATTCCTTCAGTAGGGGTGGACCATTAACATTAATCTTAAATTAATGTTAATATTTTTCATTAACATTAATATTAATGTTAATGTTTTTCATTAATCATTAATATTAACGGTTAATGTTTTCCTTTAAAAACTTAATTCATTAATATTAATGTTTTCATTAATCATTAATATTAATGAATTAAGTTTTTAGAGGAAAACATTAACCATTAATATTAATGGTTAATGAAATACATTAATTAATGTCATTAATTAAGTCCCGTTAAATTAAATGGTCCACCCCTATTCCTTCATGCTATCTTAAGCAGTGCCATAATAATTTCTGCATAGTTTGTCAATAATTGAATGAGGAATTTAATGGAAAAATAATCAACATTATTCAATAGAATGCACATGAGAAACTCATAAAACTTTTGACGGCAATCATTTCGAACTGTTTTTACAAAGCACATTTTGATGCTATTCAAAGATGTGCTCAATACTCAACAACATGACGTTCTAGAATTTTCTTTGAACATACAGTTAGAAAGAGTTTTTAATGTAGATTCTGAATAGATGCTTTTGATTTTTCTAGAGTATGTTTTAGCTATTGAAAAATGAAGCGACATTTTTCCAGGAATTTTTGTATCACCCGTTAAATTACTTATTTATTTTTGAACATGTTAGATATTTAATTACTTGTGAAATCATATGATAGATTCAGTTTCAGCGTTTTTTTATACAAGTCCGCATTGTTTTCCTTACATGATACTTTATTTTATCATTTTTTTGTATACGAAATGTTTATTTTGTTGTCACTTTTATAGATTCTCTTATAAATAATTTCATTTATTTTTTGATGCAAAAAATAAATTGAGAGAAATACTTTAACCATTTTGGTATGTTTTATAAGAAACATTTTTTGAAAAAGAAAATCATTGAAATGACTTTACTCCATGTGGACTAAATTCGTCATTTTTTTTTCTTATAGTTCCTCGAAAGGAACTCATTGGGAATTAGGATTTTGAATACAAATATTTCAAATACTCTGGTACCATAGAGAAGATCTTGCTATATCTACTGATGAAAAAATTCTCATAAACAAGCAAATAGAATACTTATAAATATAGTTTTTTCTCGCTCAGTCAAAAATAGCTGAGATTACGGATTTACCCTTCCTTACTCTATTTTGTCTGTAAAAGAAATTTTTAATAATTTCATCAAAAAAAAAAAATTATAAAAATTTGAGTATTTATTCAAGTATCGTCAAGATTTCACATATAAATAATTTGTAAAAGTTATTTCTTCATTTGCATTAATTATCTCAAGCGATACATATTTTAATTAGTAAATAAGTAAACTTCGAACTGTTGATTTTTATAATTTCCTGAATCAATCGATTTAGTATACTGTTAAAGACCGCTGAATCATTCAATCAATAACAAAATCTATACTTTTAGCGACACTAATTTAGGACACTTTTTTCTAAGTAAATATTAAGAAGTTTTTTTTTACTCAAAAAAAAAAAATCAACACATTATCATGGTACTCGGTTTATAGGACTCGCTTATAAATTTTACGATTCAACTCTATTTGAACAAAACATTGGCGATAAGTTCGCTACAGTTGCATTATCGAGAAAGTATTTTTAGTCCTGAGACATTTTTCAAGAAAAACCGAGAACACAGTTCAATAGACAATAATTTTTTCTATTTAATAATATAAGAATGAATTCGGATCGATAACAAAAATCCATGATGTATACTTTTATGTGATCTGACCGCGTACTGATTATATGAAATAATTCTTTTGACATTTGTTCAAACGCCATCTATCTATAAGATAATTTTATTGGTGTACTTGAATAACCAGAACAATGTTCTTTCATCTAGGCGAACTTTGTATCACGTGAAATCAATCAAATAAGATTTCATTTAAAGAAAAATAATCTTTGATAAAGTTGAATAATTAAATAACTAATGTCTAATGTATCAATATTATCAAGAAAAATTAGACGACGTGATCGTACAAAAACAAATAGTGGTGCCATAACAACATTTATTACAAATTGTAATAAACGTCGATTCGATGAAATTAATAGTAGAAATTCATCAGGTATTAAACGACGAGCTCTATCAGCAACATCAGGTTGTGAAAATCAAAATTGTTCGATTATTTTTATTAATAATCGAGAAAGTAATATTTTGAATAAAAGAAAAAAAAAAAGAAATTATGAAATTCTTTAATTTTATCTTTTTTGTTTTTTTCGTTCATATTTTAGGATTTAAACCAATAACAACAAATGATTATATTTATGGAAAACCAAAATCTGTTACAAAATTTGAAAAAAGCCTACCGAATGAAATTTTATTTGAAATATTTAAATATCTATCACAATCGGATATTTTTTATGCATTTTTAAATCTTAATCAACGTTTTAATCAAGTTTTACAACCATTTACACATCATATTGATTGTTCAAAATTATCTATTAGACAATTTGAACATATTCGAAATCATCTTTTTAATGCTAAATCATTGACACTTAATAATCAGGTAAATAATTCTCGTACGAAGAAGATTTATGATTTTTTTTTAATTTAAATATTGATGATAGATAAAACGCTGTGAAATAAGGAGATACAATGTTTTTTCGAAATATAATTAACACTAGGATACACTTAGGACATATCAAAAGTTCTGGCCACAGCTTTTAAAGAATCTTTTCAGATAAGGAGACTTATATTGAAAAATGAAAAACCAAATATACCATGTTGTAGAGCTTTTTGAGGCGCATCGAATGGTACATAGGGAAATTCTGTTTCCATGGGCCTAGAGTCAATTTACTGGTAGATGAACACACTCAAGCATGATAAGTTTCTGAATATTGTAGTTGTTGGTATTAGTCGAAAGTATTTACAAAAAATATTTTCTCTAACATACAATTCTATAGAGTTTTTGACGGACTAGAATCTCTTATATGTAACATCTCCGGTCATCTTGTCAGTGTGGGCATGAATATGTAGTCGTCTGTTCCGTAATTCGAAAAGATCCTTTAAACGCCATGGCCAGAATTTTTAGTATGCCCTAAACGCTAATGTCCATTTCGAAAGAAACAGTAGGCGGAAGTTTTTTTTAATAATTTTTGATAGAAAGCTATGATTTTCATCTTTAGAAAGAGTAGAGGAAGATGCATCGAATCGTATATTACAAATTTCTTTTTTTGTAACGTTTTCAATTGACTTTTTTGTAAAAGCAAGGTGACTATAATGAATTTTCAATTATTAGATATGCATTCAAATCGTCAATTGAAAACCTAGAAAACTATGCAAGTATCAGATTTTTTCTTGATTTGAGTCATAGATATTCTCGACGAATTTTTCAAGCAACCGCTAGGAAAAATTTACATCTTTGTTCTTTTCTTATGCTCACATCCCCAAATAGGCTATGATATACATGACGTCATGTACGTTTAGTGTGCGTGACGACCATATGGAGATGACGTCACGCGCACATATGTTGTGTAACAGGCTTTCTATTGCATTAATTTTCATTCTAGAATCTGTGTGCTAGCTCATATTTTTGAAAATGTACAAACAAAAGAAAACTGTAATTACAAATCGAAAAAAACGCTAGAAAAATTAAAATAGAATTCAAGTTTTATAGTTCATCTAAGTGAAATTCTCGTTAAAAATAAAGATTGAATTAATAAATAGATAAAAAATGATACTTACTATATGTATTTGAATTTAACTGAAAATAACATCAAATTTATTCAAGAAGATTAACGGTTTTATAAGTATACTTTCTTTGTTATATATCGGCTTATAAAAAACAAATGAATTATGTTTCCAACCATTGTTTGATTTAAAAAAAAAAAAGCTTCAAAAAACATCTTAGGAGAACCTATAATATTTTCATCTTCTCTTTCCAATGGTGAAAACGCCGGCGCTCTATCTTGTTCCTATCAGAACCTATTCAAAAAAAAAATTCACCCGCCTTGTATTTTGAATAGACATTACTTCAATTGTTGATGTGAACAATTTTTCGACTCAACGCTCACAAATATAATTTGCTTGCGAAATCAAAGTCGTATAGAGATATGTCATAAGGGAGCTATTCAAGGCAATATCTCGCGTTTGAGATGAGACTTCAGTCATTGAGATTAGAAGGATTCTTCTTCTTACGTTGCTCTTCTGGAATTACGGTTGTTATACTAGATTTTTTTACCTTTGACACAGTATTTGTAACTCCAACATGGCAGTGCAAGGGAAAGTATTACTCTAGTCTCAATAGGTCTTCCATAATGACTGAGATCTCATGTCGAGTGGTTTACCTTGTCAGTTAAATCACAATATGAGTCTATATGCATTTCGACCTATCCTATATAATTGTTCTAAAATTTTTCTTTAATTTTAGTATGCAATCAAACAAGTCTTTCGTATTGATTTAAATTTACATCGTTTTCCATTACTTGAATGTATATCTTTAATTGATCCAACAATAGATGAATTAAATCTTATTTTTTCTAAACTTAAACATATGTCTATTCGAATATTAAATATTCGTATTCAACGACCATCATCATCAACAAATGAAATAACTTATAAAAGTTGTTTACAACATCATTTATTTGGTTCAACACAAATCAAAACATTAGAATCTATATCTGTTGAAATGCATAATAATGATTATTTACAATTTATTGAGAAAACTGATATACCAACAAATTATGATTATTTAAAAGAATTAAATATTCCATTAAGATCATTTGATAGTCTTTTATTACTTTTAGAACATGTACCTAATTTAAAAAAATTATGTGTTAAATTATTTGCTGATCAAACACCATTAAATGTACCATTATGTGGTAAACCACCAATAAATTTAATTGATTTTGAATTAGATGTTACAGGAAATGAATTAAATTTTGATCGTTTTGTTTTATTAATGACAAGTCGAATACGTGCAGCAAAATTAGAAAGACTAGCTTATTTTAATCGTACAACTCTGGATCAAAATTATTTTAAGTAAGTAAAGAAAATGTTTATTTCGTATAAAACTATTCGACAATAAAAAGTAGCAAACTTCTCTTACTATAAATCACTAAGGAAAAATAACTCATATCGTATGTTCATCTGTACTATCGATAGTAGATTATTGCTATGAAAACAACTAAACTATAGTCATTAGATGACATGTTCTAATAGTCAATCATCTGTTTCGAAACGTATAAGATTGAACGATAATATCAATATAAAATTTAGTTCAGATGATATTTCTTTAGTCTATTTTATAAAGTTCATGGTTAGATATCTGCAGAATAGTTCCAATTCTGGTGCGGCCGGGACTTAGAATCCAACGGGTCCAAAATTTTCGGACTTGATCCAACTGAATCTCGATAATCTTAATGCAATTTTCTAATAGGAATTGGATAGTCGCCCAGAGGATAAGAGATGCTTTTTTCCGGTTTTTTTCGTATTCAGGAATTTTAATAATTACGTAAATTTCATAAGCATTTATATAGATAAATGGACTTAGAAGTAGTGTCCTGCGGGAACGACTTTTTTCCCTAATTTTCCCATTCCCATTCCCATTCTCATGGGAATGGGAATTCCCATTTAGACTTAGGGAATGGGAACATGGGAATGGGAATTCCCATTTGGACTTAGGGAATGGGAACATGGGAATGGGAACAGAATTAAAAATTGACGTTCCCAAAATTCTTTCTAACTTATTTCAATACACATAAAAATATTTCTATCTGATAACTATTTATT